ATGAGCCACTTGGTTATGTGTGGTTCTCCCTCATGCAGTAGTGGCATATTCACCTGGAAGACAGCAATTACCTTGAAAGGTCAATTACTCAGCACTAAGAATTGTGTAAAAATCTCCATTTAAGGGATGGTTCAAGTMTTTGGTCACAAAATGCCTTTTTATTAGTAAACAGTTATATCAAAATAGTGTTTCAACTGAGAGGAGCATTGTAGAACATTCAGGTTGTAAAGTTGGAAATGSCAGAATTAGTATTGCTTTTGATAATTTAATTCACTTACATCATACRCTATGTATGATCATCTTCATATGGTCATGAATAATTCCTGTTGCAGAATATTTAGTTTTCTCATGTTGTTCCAGTGAAATGTTCATATAAGTATAGATATTACGTACTTAAACACATGAACCACATTTGTTACTGTATCATTCAGTTCTGTTGCCTAAAGCTAGGCCCTGCCGCTCTAGACACTTTATAAAAATACAAAAAACTATTAGCTGTCCAGAAAGCTTGAATTTATTTTCCCAATCCCTTGGTGGAGAGGAAGTAGAGCAGAAAGTGTCGTTAAATCACCTTTTATGGTATCTGTTCTGAAATTATTCTTCAGTCACTTCAGCCTRTAGCATGTGTCAGAGCAGCCTCTGTGAGCTCTGCTCTAGCTTAAGCTGACTGCCTGTACCCTACACAAAACTGCTTCAGAAGGTGAGGTTAGTGGGTGCATGTCACAACATCAAATCCAGCTCCCTCTTAATGCATATATTTATCAACTGCCCATAAGGCCTGGGAATTGCCCATAAGGCAATTCTTTGGAATCAAACACTGGCTGGGATTTTGATAAGGACAGTTGTTAATTCTGAGGAAATGCCTTGAATTTTGCATTACCAAAAATAGGACTGAATTTTGTGTGTGTGTACTGTCATCTTGCATTCAGCTGCACTGCATCATCGTCACCTGTATCACTACAGGTTTTGCAGCATTCAGTTGAATTTGGGATGTTCTGGGTCTAAATTTCTTAATGTCTCCCCCTCCACAAGAAACTGCATGTATGTCTCTTTTGTAGGTCTCTTTTTGCAGAGTATGAGACATAATAGGTTTGGTTTTCAGCAAACAGTAGTTTTGCACTTTGCTATCAAGAAGCATCTTAAGATACATAATTGTCTAAAATMGGTGKTTTTTYTTCTAAAATGAGAGMATTCCCCTCTTAAACTTTTCATTACCTTGCAGAGGATTTTATTTTAGCTTATTTGACRTCTCTAGCCTGTCGCCTTTTCCTTGTACTGAGAGAATGCATRACAGAGGAAAAGAAGTTCTTCCCAGCCTAGTTACAGCACATCACTTCACAAGAAGCATGAAATATCACTCATTTAGATCTTCATTTAACTGAGGAACTCTTTGGTGTTAAAGAATGAAGTAATACCATGACTTAGCTCTCAAGGATCCCTGAGAGTAATGGATTCAAAACACGGCATTGAAAATTCACTGAAGATTGATCCTTTACAAAACACGAAATCAGTGTTAACCTTGGGAATTAAGAATTGCCTTCCCTTTGAAGAAGGGCCTCATCAGCAACAAAGCTGGGAAGTAGAAACCTGAGCAGATTGCTTGTGGGTCATTCTTTTTACACGTGTATTATTTCATCCACAGTGGAGATWACTGTAATTTTTCTTGCCTGCCACCTTAATGTGTGAGTGCATAGCCAAATCTGCTATCCCTCTAAACTGATAAAACTTGTTTGCACACGTGAAGAGATGATCTGCGCCAAAATGAAACCTTGCATACACTGGCATTTCATACAGGGGAGTGTGTACCCACAGTTCTGCTGAAATCACAGATCTTAAAATCACAATCTTGCAGATCTGGGATGTGTGTGTGAAAATTCCTTATAAGGCAGTGATAAGTGTGTACTTTGGATGCCAAATGGGGCCTTGAATGTGTGGAGTTACCAGGGCAGCCCAATGGTCAGGGCAGAGGGCTGGGGTGCCCCAGCTTCCTCTATGAATGCTCAGCCATCTTCTGTCAATCCTCTTTGTTCAAATATCTGAAAACCAAATSAAAACAAGAGGAGAGAGAGAGAAGAAAAAGCAGCAAAAATCAGACCTACCTTTTTGGGATGTTAATGGCTGTAGAAAAGAATTCTCTCTAATAGTAATGCAATACTAACTAAATCTAGTTGTTTTAAAAGACATGACTAGTCGTGTTTTCAATTCTTTCTTTTAAAGAAATATTARAAAATCTCTCTTGGTACTCTTTTGTCCTCTTTTGGCTCTCAGTCTATGTTAGTGATGAAACAGTCCACTCTCTATAGAGAATGAGAAAGTTTTGAATCACAGCTGTTTTGGTGCAACTAGAGGTAGCCCAAATGAAGTAAAAAGAATTGTCTCAGAACATAATTMATTCTATTCTTTTTCATTTAGAAGCGTAACACCTTTTCCTTATGGTTTCATTTTTAAAGGTGACCTAAATATTTGACAGTGTTCTTTTAAGTCACTCAGTTGGGGTTTCKTACATACTATTACTGGCAAGAGACAGCCTCATCAGCATTCCTGGAGTAGAGTTTGGCTTACATCCAAAAATCAGGAGGGTTAAGAAAGTGGGTAGCTCATTACTTCAGGCAAATAAAAAGATCAGGGTAAAGAGGGATCTTGAAGAAAGGCTGTGGGGTAGTAGTTGTTAAGAGAAGCTATGGTAATAAGTGTTTGCAGTGCTGTTTTGCCTTGGGAGGACAGAGGGAGTGTTTGGGAGGACAGATGTGAGTGTTTCTGACATCCAGCGTGGTTTTCCTGTTTCACAGTCTAAAAAAGGCTTGACCTTTTGTAATCCCTTTRGAAACAGTTTGTGCTGTAAACTTTGAATTCAACTAAGATGTAGATGTCAAAGGCCAAAGTTGACTTTCTGCCTTCTCTCYCTACCGCTTTCTCTCACCCACACCCTTTCCCCCCAATTTTCCAGGGTGATATCCATGAGGATTTTTGCAGCGTTTGCAGAAAAAGCGGGCAGCTGCTGATGTGTGACACATGTTCACGTGTTTATCACCTGGACTGTCTGGACCCACCTCTGAAAACCATTCCGAAGGGCATGTGGATCTGTCCCAAATGTCAAGACCAGGTATTTTTTGACAGATGGGGAGTTATGTACAATGCACTGTGAAGATTTTTGGTGTTAAAAAAAATAACCAGATTGCTTGGGTTACCTAGGCCAAGACAGCCTGACATGGAACAAGTCTATTTGATGTGCAATGAGGCTTGTGTGTGTTTCATCAAATTTTTACCTCTGTTGGAATGTGTGCAAATACAAAACTGTCAGGTCTTGCTTCCAAATTTGGGGTCCTTATTTGTTACCCTTATATTTTTACTCTTTTTCTGCAGACTTTTGGGCAAGATTATCTACAACCCCTAGAATTTCTGCTCTTCATCTTAAGCTTATTGTTTCTTCAAAAGTTATTAGTATATTCTTCTGGACAAATAAATAAAACATTTGYACAAGCCTACCTCAACAGATAGAGCAAATATAAGCCCCTGTTTGCTTATATAAATCAAACATCAGAAAGGTTGTCTTCAGTGATCTCTTTAATAATATCACTCAGCATCAGTATAATGAGTATAGGTGAACAGTCTGGTGGTTCTTCCTTCCAGATCCCTCTATGAAAAAGCACAATTGAAGTGTGCAGGTTATATTTTAATATTTTGCTTATAATTGCATTGAGATTACAAGATGAACAAGYAAACTAATGTATTCCTAACTCTTCCATGGAACTCCAGAAGTTGCAAATGACTGCTGGCAATGGGTAGTCTGAAGCTGTTAGTGTCTTGTCTAACATAGCCCATTGCTTGGTCACCCACATGGCCTTTGGTGAGCCAGGTGGTAACATAAGGAGACAGCCTGACCTACCATGTGCTGCTCAGWAGAATAAAAATGCAAAACTCAAGTGACTTGGTCAGAAGTTGCCAGAGAGGAGGGAGTATTATGACTTGGGTACTCCTGYTCTTGCCTACTCTCACCTTATCCCTCCTCTTCATATTTCTGTGATAGCTTCCAACAAAATTAGGGAGGAAATTTGAGTGACTTCACTGTAAACTGACCAAGTCTTCTATCTTCTCAGACACCACTATGATCATGTACTAAAAATATGTATCTTTCCTCCTCAAGTTTGTTAGTAAGCAAAATGTAGGAAGTATCTGAAAGACATAAATGGTGCTTACCCTTACAAAGAGAGTTTGACAATTCTATTAAGATGATTCTGATAAGAAGGGATGATAGGACAGTTTTATGTTTTATTTGCCAGGAAGTGTGATGTTTGAATGTATGGCGTGAAGATTCGGCTGCAGCATGAAAACTTTTTTCCCCAGAACAGCTAAGATCAGCAATTTGTCTGAACCATGAAATAATGTTTATGTCTCCTGGCAAGTTTTGAGTTCAGCTATATTATCCTTTCATTCCTCTTTTAAGTTGTTCAGTATGATTAGCAGACTTTATTTGTGGCTATAGAGGAATTTAAGAAAATGCTGACTTTTGTAAGAAAGAGGCTTGCTTTGTGGGAGCCACAATACAGTTGTGAATAATTCCCTCTGTTAAATCTCAGATCAGGTCTGTGAAGCTTCRTGTTAACAGGGCTGAGGCTAATGATAGCCATGAAAGAAAATCCTCAGTCTTTCTCTTTTTCTCTCTCTCCTTTTTTCTTTCTCAGAGGTAGATTTTTTACCAGCTAAATCTCTATGAAAATTTTCTTTCAGATGCTAAAGAAGGAAGAAGCAATCCCATGGCCGGGAACTTTAGCAATTGTTCATTCATATATTGCATATAAAGCAGGTAAGAAWATGATGAACGCTTTGCTTTCACTTGTAATAATGGAAGATGTTATTTTGGGAGTGGGATAGAATGGTACTTCCTTTACAAAAGGAGATTTTGTCATATGAAARGGAATAACCTTAATGACTAGTGAAGTGAAAAAAAGCAGTCTAAATATTTCTTAAGCCTGTCATGTTTGTGTATGTAGGTAAAATTYTGGGGGTGATTCAGTGCACAAGTTGTTGAGAATTCATTTAAACGTAATTCTCCTCCTTATATGAAGCAGTTTAGACCCTCTATCCACTGTTGTAAGAGAAATACTTTAAATATTCTGTTTCATGCTCTGTTTTGCAGCAAAAGAAGAGGAAAAACAGAAACTACTTAAATGGAGTTCAGATTTAAAACAGGAAAGAGAACAACTAGAGCAGAAGGTCAAACAGCTCAGCAATTCTATAACAGTGAGTATTGTCTTCCCAAATAACCCTTCACCTGTGTTCTGGTGCCACAGTGCAGGGAGAAAACTATTATAGAGTGACTTCATATACTAGACCTGTCACCCACTGGAATTTCTGAGAATTGAGGGAGCACTTTGCTTTTTAGGACTTTGGGGAGCAGGAGTGAAATAAAGGCAATGTACACTTGCACAGAGTCTCTTGTACATGATCCATGCTGGCCATGTATGGAGACATATAGTGACACATAATACCAGTGGGTGACAGAAAAGATTCAGAGTGTTYTTCACTGTGAGCAGGAGATTAAGTCAAAGTTTCTATGGCTCACTTAAACAAGAATGGTTGGGCCTCTGTGTGTAGTGAGAGTTACACCCTGGGTGCACTCTCCAGACCTTTCTGAAGCAAAAGTGAGCGTTTACTCTCGGCCARCTCTCCAGACCTTGATGTGTTGCCCTAGCAGTCAGCAGCTGGACACTGCAYGTGCCTCTGCATGGTATTAACCTGACAATGTCATGGTTCAACACAGAAACTTTAGTTTCCCCCTCAGTTTACGGCAGTAATTGGAACATGTGTATTCATTTGGTCACTCTTCTCACCTTAATAGGCAAATCAGTCTCTTGAGTTGCCAGTGTAAAGTTTGAGCCCTTCACTTGGTGCAGCTCTAGTCACTATCACATAATGAAAAAAAACAAACAAAATCTCCTGTGTGGCATCATCTGTAACCTTGGATTAATAATTACAGAGGGGKTTTTTTTAGGTACAGATGTACTTTCCAGGCTGCCTGTCTTTGCCTGTTAGAGCAAAAGTGTCCCATGTTTACAGACCCCTCAGTGCTGACAATACAAATAAAATTACTGTGCTGTGCTGGGGACTGTCACCTTCTGGTTAGCAGGAGCTTGGTGTAACCTGAGCAACACTAGACAACTAACACTCTTTCTTAGTGATGTACCCAGGCAGATGCAAGCCCTTAACATGAGGGATTGACAGTGGGCAAGGAGAATGTTTATATTTAATACTGGACTGTCCAAAACTGGTATGTTAGGTCTAGATTTTTAGTGGTTTTATGATGCCATGAGCCATGTGCRAAAATAGTTAAGCTAAAAGCAACAGTGGCTGGAGATTAGCACAGGTGAAAGATGTAAAATATATAGGAAGGTTGCCATCTTCATGTAAAAATCTGAATGTAATAGACATAGCTACTGTTTCCTCACTTTTGTGAGTTTCAAATATACATATAAGCAGTTTTTCACTCTTGAAATGACACTTGCGGGCTTTTTTTAAAGTTATCTTACCCTGACTCTTAGCTGATGAGCTGGCTATGTTRCTATCACTTCTAAGATAAAGAAGTGGCCACAAAATAAGATTTTCAAGTGAAGAGGAGTTTGGTTTCCTTTTCAAGTACCCTTTTACTTATTGAGAGAAGGATGTGATGTTCCTGCTAAAATGTATGTGAAATCAAAGGCTGTATCCCATTAATGGTTTGCACACACACTGTCAGCAGTCAGCTGCAGTGGGATGCCTGAGCTTGCAGATCTGAGCTAAAGAAATTTCGGTAATGCAATACCAATAGAAAAAATAGTTGGAACATACACTTGGAAGTTKTCCTTCAAAAGAAGCACAAAAGGATGGAGCTGCCTGTGTTCATTTGCACAACACCTCAGGATGAAAGGGAGCCATACCAGGTGACAGCTATGTCTTGGCAATTTATTTCCTCAGTCTGCAAATATGAATTCTCCTGTGAACATAGCCTAGAGACTCTTTTTCTTCTAGGTTGGAAAAGTGAAATTACAGCTGCAGTATTTCTTCTCTTACCTTCTTTCATTCATAAGCTTGAACTTATTACTGCTTTTTTGTTTTGCTGCAGAAATGCATGGAAATGAAGAATACCATCCTTGCAAAACAGAAGGAGATGCACAGCTCCTTGGAGAAGGTAAAACAGCTGATCCGCCTCATCCAAGGCATCGACCTTTCAAAACCCATAAACTCTGAGGTCAATTCAGTAGCCATCTCCAACGGCATGGACTCCACTAACAATACTAATGCTGCCACCTCCACCTTAGCCCCCTCCCCTTCCCAGAGCTGCATGGTGAACTGTAACAAGGGCGATGAGACTAAATAACACAGTGAAGTTAAGAAGGAGCCAAGGGAGGTGGCGGCGAGGAGAAAGAGCAAAATAAAGAAACTCTAGAAAAGCAAAACTGGATTTCTTCTGGAAAGTGCAGAATTCTTTAGTTCTTTGGTTCCAGAGAGAGCGTGAAGATGCTTGTGCCAGGCGGCACCGGAGTTTGCCAATTGATCCTTCTTATTCTGTGTGTACATGCGAAGTTTGGATCATGTTACATGAATAGTGCCAGCTGGGGGTTCTTTGCCAGCACCATGCCAAGTGAAATAATATATTTACTCTCTCTATATTTTACACCAGTGTGTGCCTGCAGCAGCCTCCACAGCCACTATAGGTTTGTTTTATTTTTGTTTGGGGTGAGGAGCAGGGATAAGGGAGGAGAGCAGGTTTCAAGTTCCTATTTGCAGAACAGTTTGTTTAGCTAGGGGAAAACAAAAACAAGTCCAAAGAGCCTATGGGCTTTTCCTGTTTCTAAACTCTCAGTACTATTAAACCAAAAAACCAGAAATATAAATTATCAAATCCCAGTGCCCAGAAGGGACAAGTCTATCAAATAAGCAGTATTTACTATTGTTTAGACAGGAGATATACAAAAGGAAAGGAGATGGACTTTTCACTGAGTAACCAGCACATAGAATCACAGAATATGCTGAGTTTGAAGGGACCCATCAAGATCATTGAGTCCAACTCCTGGCCCTACRCAGGACACCCCAAGAATCAAACCATGTGCCTGAGAGCCTGTGGGTCCCCACACTCATCCAGAAAGTCTGTGYTGAGAATGGGGAAATAGAGGGCCAGAATCCAGGGTCAGCTTGGAGCATTGGATGGAGGTGTCCCAAGAGAAAATGTGCATCAATTACTTGAAAATGAGATTCCATCCCTTTTCTGTATTTRTAAACAACAAAGGTATCCTGAACAAAGTAGCACATAACCCAGATGTGTGAACTCAACAGAGAAATGTCCTTTTCTTTCACTTCCTTTCTCTTCTTTTGGTAACAAGAACTAAATAAGGAATAGAAAAGCTGTTTTTCAGGCTGACAGTCTAATTAAAGAGGTAGATGGGACCTTGCATGGTATAGATTAGAAGTAATAGTGTCAGTGAGATACAGTGAGTCTTTGTGAGTCCTTGTGTCATCGTTTTGGGCACTGTTTTTTTATGCAAGGGCAAAATCTTTGTATCTGGGGGAAAAAAAACCAACTTTTTTAAATTAAAAAGGAAAATAAAAGATATTGAGGTCTTCCTAGTGTTACTTAAAATAAGATCAAGGTAAGAAACATTGTAAAAAAAATTACAAAAGTGCTATTTGTTTCCTAAACAAGTGATTTCTATTAAAAAGGTGTCAGAACTGGAGAAAATGCTGTGTACTTAGAATTTTTTAACACAGACTTTGCTTATTTATGATGACATTCTGCTGTGTTTGTGTTCTAAAATCCAATGGGACAGTTTCCATAGGTTATACCACACATCTACTGGCTAAAGTCTATAAAGAGAATCAAATCCTGCGGTGCTGGATCTCGCCCCACCTGGAGGATCTGCCAGGCTTGTCGCTGCTGTACCATCTCTCTCCCATTATTCCATGTGTTTGTAACCCAGAAAAAAAGCTGTTTAAGGCTTTAACAGTTCTGTGATACAGACTGATTCGAGCTTAAGAATGAAAGACAGTGAGCTGGATTGAAATCACCCTCTGTTATCTCCTGTTGTTTGAGAAGTTCTTCTCTAATGTATAATTTTTTCACTCCAGACAGTGGAGTTTGCCTTGTGCTTCCTGATTGTGGGGTCTGGCTCAGTTTAGGGTGCTGATTCTGGTCATTGTGTCCCAGAGCTGTCTAATTTCATATAAACATTTGGGCAAATAAATATAAACATCTGGGCAAAGCGCATTTCCACTGGAAGTACTGGGAAAATTCCCTTTATTTCCAGTGGGAGCAGAGTTGAGCCCTGCACACACAAGGTGAGGCAGCGTCCCTGGTGTGGTGGCCTTGAGAGCAGCTGTTGGGTGGTGAGGCAGACCTGCTCAGCTGTTTATAGTGCAAGACAGAAAAGCTTTGAATTTCAAGGATTTCTGAGCAAGTGAATACTCCAGACACTACATAGCCTGAGAAAGTTTCTTTGCTGCCCCAGCCAAGTGTGCTTCTGTGGGGCTCTTGGAGCTGTTTTCTTCCCTCTCCTTTAGGTTGTCATTCTGCCCTCTAAGGACTTTTATTCCTTTTTATTCCCTCTGTAGGAGTGTTTACTATTTTCAGCTCTGAGCTCAAAATKGATATCCTGAGTTCTCGCATTTGTCTCTGTTGGGAAAGTGACTCTTACACACACTTCCCAGCTGAACCAGTGATAACCCTGACTCTCTGTCTTTTGATGTTTGAGTTCTGTTCTGGAACTAGCAGAGTTGGAAGGATAAGTTAGTARAAGTGTCAGGGAGACAGCTGGGAAGACAGCATCAAAACGGATCATACTAAAAATGTCCTTCCATCAATCCAGTTACCAATGGGGTTATTGCCATTGCAGCACTAGGCCAGCAACCCATAGCATTTAAACAAAGGACTGTCTGTTTCAAGGGCTGAAGAGAAAAACCAAACTGAACATAAGCCTTCCATAGAATATGAGCCCTCAGCTAACAGCCAGATATTCAGGAGAAACTGCCTTTTTTGAACATGGTCTTTGGCTGAATAACTGGGTGATTCTTATCATCTTCTGAAGCATCAAGCATTCCTGGTAGGAGACCATCTCCAGGGAAAGGGGTTCTGAGTCTTCGTGGTTCTCATGCTCTTATTTCTGTGTTAACCTGAGCTCTCTTGGAAGCACTATTTGGAGGTAGGAGGCTATGCCTGGAGATTCAATAGTCCTGTTTTCTTTACTGATTCGGGAGAGGATGGAAGTGAAGTTCACTAGTAGCCATATTTAAATTTGAGCACAGTTAACCAGCCAGGAGATATTAAAACARCTATTACTGCATTCCTGAGGCATCTGTTTGTTTCCAGAATCCAAGCAGATAAGTACAGACTTTTATATCCCTTTTGTTACAGCATTTGTGTTCCAGACGATAAAACGATGCCTTTAGTTCGACATTCCTTGACAGAAAAATGATCTTAGACTTTTTGATGATGCTTGGGTAGTTTTCATTCTCTCTAACTGATCCTGTTCGGATGCTTTTCCTTCTGGCTCTGCAACAGTATCAGCCAATAGGCAAGGAGCGTTCCCAGGGCTACACTGACACTGGCAATGATGCTGCTGTGTAGAGAAAGTAARTTGGGGTTACGTCTGCCTGATTACCAACAGTAGGGTGGAAAGGGAATTSGTGTTTGCTAAATACAGAGGAAAATGTTTTTTTGGTTTTTTTTTTTCCTAGCTGCTCTAAGAGGTTCTAATCAAGGGAGATATTTAAACTCTGGGACAGCTTAAAGCTCAAGCTTCTCTTTTGGGTTTGTATTGGTTTGGTTTTTTTTTTTCTCATGTACTGTTTGAGATGGAATGAGTTTGTACTAAAACTTCTGCTCCTTGGGAAGCTGTCACGATGGCTGTGGTTTTGTATTTCCAAACCACCATCAAGATATTAACTAATTCTTATGTCATTTCTTGTCACTGGTAGGAAACTAGTGGCTTTTAAATCTCTGTTATAAGGGAAGAGATGAGACCACAAAGGAATCTCATATCAGAGATGGTCCTGGCTCTCAGCCCGGTGCYAAGGGCTCTGAGAAGTCACCCTGCTCCTTTGCTCAGAAACAGAGCAAGCATTGCAGAAGTTGTGTTTTCCTTCTCCTTGCAATCTGTTCTTTAAACAGCTAAAAAGGTGTGTTGTGGTTGGAGTGGGAAAGTGAGTGTGTGACCTGGCTAGAAGAATTGGTATCATCACTGGTGTTCTCATTGTCTTGGTTCAGAGCCAGCAGTGGGTTTAGTGCTGTACAAAATGCAGAGAAAGCAATACTTCTGGGGATGATTGGCAGGCAGGGTGAGTAGCATGGCTGATTCTTCCAAGGCATCTTTAACCAGGTGTTACCATGTTGTTAGGATGAACTAATGTTCTGCAGGAGCAAAACAGGGCTTTGTTCTATGTTGCAAGCAAGTTTCTGTGAATGGGGATATGAATTAAGAGCCTGGAAATTAAAGAGGTGATAATTTTACGGACAGATCTCTTGGTTTTATTGTTGGCAGGACAAGAATACGACATTTTTTCTTTCCTGCAATTCTGTATTCCAAATGTCTAGAAATGTGGAACCTATTTGTGACCTTCTTGTCTTCAAATCATCTTGCTTCCTGTACTGTTGCAGAGACAGCCCCGAAAAGCAGCGTGGTCAGCATTCAGGAGWACCCAGAGTGAAATCTCCCTCATAGCCCCACCAAGCTGTGGCAGCCCACAATGCAGGGAGTAAACTCTGGAATTTCTTTCCCATGTGGATACAGCAGAAAACATTTGTGAATTTGCAGTGCACATGTTTCTCTCTGTTCCTCAGCTTTGCTTCCGCCCTCTTTGCTTCTGAAGCACCAATGACAAATACATGCTTTTTTAATGGAACCTGCTTTTAAAATAACATATTAAGATGTTAAATCAAAATTCACTCTYTTACTGAGGGCCTCTCTCAGCTGCTCAGATAACCACCAAAATACCAGTATTACACTTCCTTGTGAACCACGCCCCTTTGGGCACRATTTGCTGTGTATTTTTAGGACTGTTTCAACCCTTCTTCACCTCCTATTGTCCTCCCTTGGAATTCTGGAGATCCAAAGCAAGTTCAGCTTTGCTGGATTACTGCAAAGAGTTTTCTAACAAGTAGGTAGGAGTCAGGAAACCAGAGAAAGAGGAAGATGTTTTGTTGTGCAGCTAATTAATTTCATGCTTAGGCTTGCCTGGCCAACAAACTACCTCAACAAAGGCCATTCCCAAACACTATGGATTCTGTAGTTTCTGGCATTTGGAAGGCAAAAGGTCCAAAGAACCCTCCAGCAGCCAGCTAGGGACTGATCTCTGAAGGTGTGTGAGTGAACCTTGCAGTGACATGCTGTTGGATCCTAGTTTTCAGTGTCAGACCTGGACCAGGGAATGACCCAAAAATCAGATGGGATMAGGAAAATGTGAGAACTGCAGATGTCTTGTCTCCAGGTTATTGCTGTCTTACTCAGATCCTTCTTTAAGCCTCAGTCCTGCTTGTAACTCCTACAGAATGGAATGTAATACTTGAAAAATACAAGTCTCTCTATCCTTGACCCTTAGCTCCCGTTTCCCTCCTATTTCTCTTATCTGGGACAAGAACTTTCTGCATCATTGTGTCTTGTATAGGATGAGCACATAGTTGATCAAATTGCCAATAAAGAAAATTATTTATACCATGCACTGGTAAGCTTGGTAATTATAGATCCATGAAAAGACAAACACCTCTCCCAGAGGCTGATTTAGAATGGGGGCTTGTTTCAGAAAACCAAGATCTTACCTGTGTGAGAGTCTGTTTGCATCCCTGTCACTATTACTAAAATATCTGACTAGTGATGAGAAAAGAGGCTTGTCAAGAGCACTGGTGCTGTGGAAATCACTGTGCTGTGCAAGTCCCTSCAGTGTATCTCATGAGAACAGCCAGGCCAGGACTTCCCATCTCCCCAGCCAGAGGTAGATGCTGCAAGGGACAAATTCAAGGCCTCTTTGGAGAAGTGGTACAGGGCTGGAGATGGAAAGGAAGAGGCAAAGCAGGAGCAGCAAAGGAAACAGATTACATGGGRTAAAGCAGAACAGAGAGAAAAAATATACAAAGACATGAGGAGGGAAAGTGAGTGTAGGAAAAATCCAGGAGTGAAATAGGGCTCCATTCTGATTAGACAGGTATTCCTGCAGTTACAGGATTTGTTCAGTGGAAAGAGTAGAACAAAAATGCTTTTTATCCTACCTCAATTTCTGGCATGGGTTGGTCTGTATTCCAAAAGGAGCAGGTGTGGTGGGAGAACAGCTGCTTGGCTGCAGATAGAGAAGGAAACAGGCACTAAGTCATCCCTAGTTCTGCATCTGCTGCTGAGTGACCCCATCCCGATGAGAGCCTTATTTGACTTCTAAGCTACAACACTGGGATAAGGCAGATGAAGCAGACCTTGGGGCAGCCAGAACCTACTCTGATTTGGACCATATTAATTAAACATTTTCTCGACTAGAGACATTCCCAAAAGTAGCTGAAGGTTCAGCTCTGCTGTGTGATTGCACCTTCCTGGTTCAAGKGTTACAATCAGCCTAGCTGAAACCAGCATCAGCTTCCAGAAGTCCTGGTTTCTGTGTGAGCRAAGGAGACAACATGGATTAGGATGTGTGGTTCAGGTAATTCTCAGCCACCTCTTGGAGCATCTGTGCAAGATTCCTGCTCTCTGGGCTGTCACGTCTGGCAGTTCTGTGCCAAAACCCCTCTGTGTAGCAATGCCTCTGTTTTCTCAGGATCTGATTTYTTTAGGGACACACACAAAGGGGTGTTTCAGCAGTGCAGCTGAACAGGGGCATGTGGTAAGTTTAATGTAACCTGTGAGGAGCTGAGTGCCTCTAGATCATGGGGYACTCTGCTGGGGAAACAGCTCTCCCCACTCTCCTGTGTAAGCTCTGTGTAAGGGATAAGCTCTGTGCCTGTTCTTCTTCGCTCTGTAGTATACAAGCAGGTGTCAAAGGCTTCAGATGGAGAAACTCAACCCAGCCCCTAATTCTAAGAAGGAAGAGGTACTTAAGGGCTTGCTTACTATCAGGAGTGCCTGGGGAACTCAAAAGCCTTGTAAGTGTGGCTCCATATCCTGGATAGAGAGCTGGCATAGAAAGGCAGCAGCAGTGAGCAGTATCGATCAGCTCACACCACCTTTTGCATCTTTTTTCTTTTTCCTAAATTTACATTGGCAAATGTAAAACTCAACCAAATCCTACCCTTTTGTCACCAGCCTTCTTACATTTGTTTGTTGGAAAACAAATTAAATATTGTTGCCTTTGATCTTTGAGAAAGTATTTTTCTTAGTGAGCAACCAGAACTTAGTGAGCCTTGGGGGTATAGCTCATGTGGGGAAGGGAAGCAGCATCACAGGCCAGCTCCTGGGGCTATGTTCAGTGGGCACCCTTGGCTCTGGATCCCCAGTGCCAAACTTTCATACTGCAGCAGCACTAGGAAGATGCTGTGCACGTGCAAGGGCAGGGCTATCCCTGGCTTTTTATCCAGGTGTTGGTCTCTCAGGTGGGGAATGCCAGAATTGCAGGGGGAGGGAAGAAGATTGCTCTGTGCCTCATGTTCCCCTCTGTAAGGCAGGTACTGGCAGTTCTGACTCTGGAAAAGCAGATTTCCATGGCTGCAGGCATTGGGGTAGGCACTGTTGAAAGCAGCTCTGTGCTGGGTGCAGCAGGAGGCTGCATGTTTCTGCTTGTTCTGGGCTAATGTGTAATTTATAATCATAGTCTCATATGTTTCTTTACTTTAAATTATCACTGACATCAAAACAGTGATTGACTCTAGAGCCAGGCAGTGTCTTACCTGTTAGCTCTCCCTTCCAGGAAGGTACATTGTCTCTGAGTCGCTCCTGATGTCATATGTGACAGGCAGCCAAGACCCAACCTAAGAAAGGTTTTTGCTTCTGCATCAGCCTCTGAGACTCGGGCAGCTTCCTGGCAGCCCCACACAAACACAACCTGCAGCAGTYGTGTCCCACAAGCTGCTTCACTCCAATTACAGCTGCAGGGTGCCCCCCAGGCACCATCTTAACACTGTCAGAGGTGTCCTGGCTTCCTCTCACAGCCCCACAGAAGCAACGCAGGTGTTGCAAACTCCATTAAGGAAAGATTAAGCAAGGTAACAGCAGGGAGCCTGCTAGTGCCGACCTGATCGGGTTCCTGTGGAGGAAGGAAACAACTTTGCTGTGTCCAGGAGAGGACAAAGAGAAGTGGTRGTGAGCTGCCACCACCTGCAAGGTCTGCTGAGGCACTGGGGTGGCTGTCCATGCCGAGGTTTCTTTAGGGAGCTGATTGGCTCTACTCTGCAAACGTCCGCCCTGTCCRCAGCTGAGGGCAGGAGGTTGTGAAGGCAGCTCTGTTCATTTAGGAGAAAGTACTCAGGCTTCAATCATGGCTTCATGTTCCTGTGATCACAGCGGCRCCATCTCAGTAGATTTACTGATACCACCATCTGTGTGCCATGCTTTGTACCGTTCCCCCACYCCACCCCGGCGTTCCACCCAAGACTGAGCTGTGAAGCAGAGTCCTGGCAGGGGCCCAGAGCAGCAGCTGACCCTGCAGGGCTCTGTGTCTGAGCCTTAGTCCCTCGCCCAGCCTGTCTGATTTCTCCAGGTGATTTTAGTGAACAGCCCCCCCTGCTCGTGCTGTCCCCGCAGCCACGGGCCTGGYGCTGCACGGGATAATGGCAGCTTCTCTCCCAGCTGGGTTCCTTAACAGCACACCTTAACAGCAAGGTGCCAGTGGCACCTCTGSTGCCCCATTCCCCACCAATCTCCCATCCTTGCAGGCCCTGGTGTAAAATGCCCTGACTGGTACTGCTCTGTTGTCACAGAATCACACCRTGAGAACACCCACTCGTGAACTGGTTTGGGTTTTTTAAATATCTCTATTTTTTTTAGCCTGATGCTCATAGTGATCTGCAGTATCTGCTGCCTTCAAGTTCCTTGTTGTTTCAGTTTTGGTACAAATGTGTTTAGAATTTAGCAAATTAAAGTTGGGGGGGGGGGTACAGAGCATCTGATCAATTTGTATTTATTTATTTTAACATTTTACTAAATAAAACACAGTAAAATCTCTTGTCTCCTTAGCTCTATGTACCAGGTGGGGACAATGGGTCCCATAGGCACAGGGGTTGTAGTAGTGCCCATAGCAAGTCCCCAGCCCCAGGAGTGGGTTCTGATTGTGGCTGTGTAACACTGCAGCTCATTTTCTTGGCAGGGAGAAGGGCACTACGTTAGGAGAAATGAACTTTAGCTCCAAAAGGGACCGTGCTCAGTTCAGATAATCTCCCYGGCTCTGACTCTGTGGGTGCCTCCCAACCGACACTGCCCGGCAGAGGGCACATGGAGAGCAATCCACGCTGGGTTTATTTACAGGTACCTTCACCCTCACAGGCACATTTTGGGCTAAGGCCTGTCTAGGCTGGGAAGGATTATCTGAAAATGATGGTGTACAGCCCTCCTGCTCCAGGCATACCAGCACACCTTCCAAAACAACTGCAGAGCCAGCATTTCTATTGCCTTCTAGCTACCAAAGAATCATCTGGAAGAGGCCTGCTCCATCCCAGCACTACTCCACCACGTCTCTAGCAGTGTCTAGATCTGATCTAACTCTCTGATCCTGCTTAGCACTGCAGCAGTGCGGTACCAGTGAACTTAGGCTGTATTAAACAAAAGCTGCCTGCTAGAGAATGGTGGGGTGGAGCTGTGCTTGGCTTCACAGCGATGAGCARTATCTTCCCAGCCCTTTCCCAAATAAAGCCTCAGCACTTGCTCCTGGCAAACCATCCTCATCCTCCTCCCCGCAGATGTGAGGCTGGTGGCTCCTGAGACCCAAAAGCCAGTTTTTTTTCCCCAAGTCTTATAAAGCCATGGTTGGTCGGGCCGAGCTGCAGCACCCGCACATGAAACCCCACTACTGCTCACTGTTCCCCAACCTTCCCACTGTGCCTAACCAACAGGAAAGGGTTCCAAAGGCACCAGGCAGAGCAAGCCCAGTGATGCTTCTCCCCAGCCAAGGCTCAGGCTACTCCTCCACTGCTCTCCTGCTGCTGCCTTCCCTCCAGGTGACACATGCAGGCTCACAGCAGAAAAAAAAAAAWAACAACCAGGCAGTTCTAACAAGAATGTGAAAAAGAATAAAAAAGCTTTAATTTAAAAATTAAATTAAAAACAGAGAATAAGCAAGAGGCGCTTGTGCCCTTTCCATACCCCGCGTTTTCTATGGTTCCTCTTAGCCTCTCCCACCATGGACGGAAATCCTCACCCTGCACAGAGCTGGGTCTTGCAGCCCAGAGCAAAGCTAAGAAGAGAACAGTGGAGACTGCAGCAGCAACTGGCCTGGAGAGCCTCCAGGGCCACCAGCAAAATCATCTGGGAAGAAGAAAAGATTAAAACAAAAAAACCCAGACACCCTAATTACTGAATTCTCATGAGAAAAGTATTAAATAATTTAAATARTGTGAGGAAAGCAACGCATCCTCTGTGCTCCAGTGTGTGATAGCAGTAGAACAGTGTCCAGTCAAGCTGCTCCCAGCATGGGGCTCCTGCCACAGTGCTCAGCTGTGGTCTTGTCCCATGTCAGTCACATCCCTGATTGGTGATAGCAATGTGGACTGTGCTGCCAAGAGCTGGGGAGGAGCAGGGTGGTCCCTTCCAGGCACTTCTCCCAGCATGTGCTGGCCCACAAAGCTGCTGTTTTGCCCACAGGGAGGGTTGGCAGCCCTGCCCTACCCTGCGGGGCAATGCCAGCACAGGACAGGGTCTGTCATCGGCATGGCTGCTCCCAGCTGGGAGGTGCAGCTCCATCCTGGGAGCTCACTGCTGKGGACAGCAGACAGCCCATCCTACTCTGGGAGACTCCCACACCACWWGTACAGGGCCAGCTCCMCTGGAGACTGCATCCAGACAGATGGGGAATAATAAYATTTCCCCCCACTAACCAGCCAGCCTCGATCTGGGATTGAAACAAGGCTCCAACTCCTCCCAGTACTCCCTGGCCATTCCACCCAGAATGCCAGAAGGCTTCTTCTGAGGTTACTCCACAAAGGATGTAAAGGGATGCTGCCCTACAACCTCATCTCCAGCTCATCAAAGCCCTGGAGTGGTGGGTGGAGGACTGGGACCTGGGACCATTGAGCAGAGGCAGAACAGAGTAAGGTACAGCTCCCATGTCTCTGGAGGATCCAGGCCTCTAGGTGAGGTGGGCTAGTGAAGACCAGGAATCCACATCCACTGAAAGAGGTTAGGGAGAAGACTCCACCCCTGGCCCCTGGCATGGGGGGGTTCTCCTGTACCACAGGAAGGCCACAGCAGCTTGACCTGCAGGCACTGCCTGYTCTTGCAGCTGATATCTTCCATGTTATCTACAGGCATCCCTTTGGTGAGCTGGAGAGGCTGTACTGCAGATTCGGTTCCCTCGGGCCGGGCTGTGGCGGTGGGCAGGGGCAGGAGGGAGGCCCTGTGCCCTCCCTTCTCCAGTGTGCTGCTTGTACCCCWCACCCACTGTCCCCAGGTGTCACAGGCTTCTCTCGGCAGTGAGGTATTTGAGTGCAGCAGCCCCGTATCGCCGGGACAGGTCCTGGTGGAACTCCTCCCGCAGCGTCTGGAGGCAGCCCCGGTACCCTGCGCTCAGGCGAAACTTAGAGATGTCGAAGCTGGGGGCATGGGGCATGTGGATCATGAAGGCATTGGGCAGGACCAGCAGCTCGTACTCCTGRGGACAGAGCAGCAGCCCTTACCATCAACATTGGCTCGGTGGCACCAACATGTCACTGCCCAGCCACAAGTCCCCAACCCCCAGTGCCTCCGTGGTGCCAGGAGCAGCCCCTCACCCACCTGCGCGTCCAGCTCCATGATGTGGGAGACTTTGTTCCAGCCGAAGCCCACGAACCTCTGGTCRTACTTGGGGCAGTCTCGCCTCACTACAACGTAAGGCTCGAAGTCTGGCTGCCACGCCACRCGGTAGGGCACAGTGGCTGTCCGCCATTTGGCGTAGTCCGTTGGGGCGTGGCCTTTTGGCCACACGTGGTACCTATGGGGAGAGAAGGAAATGAGAGACTGTGACAGTAGAGGATGCAGGGGGTCTGCTACCCCGCTCTGAGATGGGGTGCACAGCCCCAAGGCACAAGGGTACACAACTGGCTTCTGCTTGGATGGTGGGACAGCTCCAGTCCCTACCTGAAGGTGTAGAGGGAGCCCATGTCCAGCATGGAGAGCAGCTCTGCTTTGGATTTGGGAAAGGTCAGACGGTAGTGCAGGGTCTCAAATGCCGGCACGATGAGAGCCGCCTTCCTCTGGGGCAGCTCCAGCTGTTGGATGGAGTTCCTGTGGTAGTAGGAAGGGTGTGAGGTCTCCCTGACTGTGAGGCACAGCCACAGCGTCCTTCTTCAGCCCCTCCAGCCTTCCTTCCACTCCAGAAGGGTATTAATGGCTTCTGACAATTTACAGTGGCACCATGCAGGTACAGGGATGGGAGGAACAGGGCAACCCTCACAGCCACAGCCCCTTCCTTATCTGCTGCTGTCTGACAAAAGCAAGGGCAGGATCCCAAGGCTGAACACAAAAGAAACAGTTTCTGCACATTGGGAGCCACTGCCCAGGGCATTTCCTGCAAACTCTGGTGCATGGGGAGCCCAGCAGGTCAAGCAAGAGCTGGCTGGAGAAAGTCTTACCTGAGGTAATCATAGAGGCCATACATAGGCAGGAAGTCGATGTCCGTCAGAAAGACGTACGGCGTCTGCGTGTTGGCCAAGGCCACGTTGCGCAGGAGGTTGATGGGGTAGAACTGCCCCTCCTTGTACACAATGTGGTAGGCGACGTTGCGGCGCGCGCTCAGCACCTCCGAGGCCTGGGCATAGCGCAGGAATTGCTGCGCCTCGGCGTCCGACATGTACAGCGCCAGGCTGATGGGCCCTGCCCAGTGCTTGCAGATGGCCTCCAGCATYTGTAACCTGGGAAGCAGAGGGCACGGCCTGAGCAGCAGACCCTGAGCCAAACCCAGAACGGGCACCTCCAGAGAGCTGGGTGCAAGCAGCCAGTCGAGCCCACTTCAGGAGAGAGCAAGAACTGATGCTCCCAGCTTGGGGTGTTGTTCCTCACCACCAAATGCTGGTGTGAGAATGACRAAATGAGACTCCCGGGTAGCTCAAAGTTGTGGAGCCTGCCCAGAGGAGGAAGGTGGGCTCCAACCTCCCACCAGTCCTACTAGCMAGTACCTGTCCATGGAGAGCTGGGCCACGAGGGTGACATCGGTGGGGTCGGGGAGGGCCAGGAACTCGTACTGCAGGAAAAACAGGTGGATGCGGTGCTGCATGAGGTGCTGCTGGCGGAAGTCATAGCAGGGATCGTCTTCATCCAACTCTTCCAGCGCCTGCTGTAACTGCAACACCATGAAGATGAGGGTGAGTGGGAGCTCCAGAGGAGGCTATGTGAGATCTCCGCCCACCCCATGTTCTGGGGCTGAAGGCAGAGCCAGTCAGMCTCACCTGGTCCCTGGGGGGGCTGGGAAGACTGGCACAGCCAAAAAGTTCCCTGCGCAGCAGGTTCCCGTCATACTCCAAGAAGGTCAGGTAGAGGTTACGGAAGAACTCCACATGCTTGTTTTTCACCCGCAGCTTCTTGGGCGAGTTCCAGTGGATCACCTGGGCAGTAGTGTCACCCCATGGAAGGGAAGTCAGCAGTGCCAGGTTCCGCAAGCTCTCAGACCCGAAGCTGACTCCCCTGGACCTCCACTGTGTGCACTGTCCTTCAGGCCCTCCCCAGTCTTAAAGGCAGTAACCCCACTCACCTTTAGATCTGAGAGCTCAGTGTAGCACTGCTCTGAGCGGGTGTGATCTGACAGCTGCACGTTCCAGAAGCAGGGAAGCCGGTACACCAGGGATGGATCCTGTTTGATCACCGCGTTAAAGATATCCTGGGAGAGAGAACATTGAGCACACAGGTGGACAAGGAAGATCCCCTGCACCAGCAGTGCCATGGGAATGCAGAAGGACTGACGGCCTCAGARGAGGGACAGTTACCTGATCAGCCAGTGAGGTGGAGAGCATGCTCATGAGCTCCCGCTCYGCTGTCAGCCGCCACATCTGCTCCCAGCCCAGGCGCCGTAGGCGGTCCAGCAGGAGCAGGATCACCCCTGTGTGCCAGRGGAGAGGGCACTGGGTCACCAGGAGAGCACCCAGCCACTATGGAGCACAGCTGCCTGTGTGCCTTCGGYCCCTGGGACATGCCACTTCTCTGTGCCCACCACACAATCCCAAGATGTTGTAGCAGTCCTCTCGTGCCCATGACTTGCCTACTTTACCTCAGTCTCTCCCCATCTCCCTGTGCCAAGTGCTACCTCAGCTGGATGTGCCATAATGTGGCACCCCCACCCTGGCAGCCCACACTCACCCGTGTTGAAGCCACGTCCCAGGGCTGGCCATGGTTTGTGGTTTTTCCACAGGTTGCCCAAATACCAGTCACTTTGGTTCTCCACCAGCCCAATCACCTGCTTTTCTGAGGAAAGAGAGGGACATGGACAGAGCTCATCTTGCTGTTGGTTCAAAGGGCCCAAGCAAACCCACTGAGCTGGAGTTGTGCCAGGCAGACATTGAGCCTGGCACTCAAGGCCCTGCCAGGGTCCCAGGGACACCTCATCCTCACCAGAAAACTTCCCGAAGACAGCCCAGAGCTCAGCAATGTCAGTGGCAAAGGTGATGTCCGTGTCCAAGACAATGACCTTGGAGAGGTTGGAGGGCAGTGCCTTGGTAAGTGTCAGCTTCATCAGCCCATAGATGCCGGAGTAGTGCTTGTTGGGGATCCACGACACCTCTGGCTGCAAGGCAACGCACCTCAGGGCTGGGCACGGCCATGCCCTTCCCCTGCCCAGGCAGGACACCTGTGTGTGTCCAGCACCACAGGCAGAGAAGGCCAGCAACAGAGGGCAAGCAGAGCTGTGGAGCCAGCTGAGCCTGGAGAGTTTCCTTCAGTCACCAGAACCCCCAGGTGGGCCCCAATGTCTCATTGGAGCATTCAGCTCTGCCACAGATGCAGTGTTACCCCTCCAGYTCTACCACAGGGCCTCCCCACCCCTGCAGCACCAGCCTTGTGCCCCCCTCTCAGCAGCACCAGCAACAAGACCAGAAAGATGAGGGAGTGAGCCAGGGACCAGCAAGAAAAAGTTAATCACCCCCCATCCATTTGTCCCTCTCTGCTGCTCCCCTCGACCCTCTGAGSATTGGTTTGGGACAGGGCAAAGGAAGGGCAAGCACCTGCCTTCAAGTCATCGGCGTTGTAGAAGCTGACATGGACAGAAGGCACCATCCAGGACTGGAAGAGCGTCTGGAGGATCTGGTGGGCCACCGAGTCCGTGATGAAGTGGAAGTGGAGGGGGTTTTTCCTGCCAAGGACAAACATAGCAACACTCATCATCACAGCAGAATGAAGAGGATGTGGTCACTCATCCCTCCCATCCCTGCCAGGGGACAGACATCAGCTGAAGGGGCAAATGGAAAAAAAATTCAATCCTAYTGGGGAAACAAATTCCCCTCTATCCCTTGAAAGGAGTGGTACAAGAGGTAGAGAGAGGTCCTAGAGCCCCTTTTCTGCAGCGCTGCCTGGCTGCAGCCTGCAGCAGCTCATCTGGGAACCCCAACCAGCTGGCCTCTGGCACAACACCTCCCCATTACCTGTGGAAGAGGATGGATTTCACCAGGGTGACCACGTCCCGGCTCGCATTGTGCCCAGCACACACAATCGCAACGTGCAGGAGCTGCCCAAAGACAAATGGTGCCTTTTTGAGACTGGACACCTCCTCCTTGCAGGGGCTGTCAGCTCCTCCCTGGGACCACGCTACAGGAAAAGACTCTTAAAACCCAACCTTTCCCATGCAGAAGGAGCCCCAGACAGAGGTGGGAATTCGCTAGCTCAGAAGCGGGGACCAGAAGTCTTCTGCCACTCCTCCTGTCTGGTGTCCTTCTCTGGAGAAGGAAGACACCCTCACCSACTGACTGCAGTCCACTGAGCATCATGGAGAGCCAGAATGAGGCCCCAGCATGGTAAGAGTATAAGCGAGAGCAGTGCCAGGTGAGCTGCGCATACATCCATGCTCCACCGGGTCCCAGCCTCCCATCCGACATTCCCTATCCACAATGCCACTGTGCCAGTGCTGTCACCCACCTCACACTTGTGCACTGTCCGCTGCTTGGGGCAGGCYGTGCGGTTGCTCCTCTCGCCCCTGGGGGCGTCTCTGTCCTCAGCAGAAGCTCCCCACTGCGGGCTGCCATCGCTGCCCTCCGCCTGTGCCTGGCCGAGCTGCAGCCGCAGCTGCTGGTTCTCCTCCTCCACCCTGCGCACCCGTGAGGCCAGCGCCTCCCGCTCCACATCCCGGCTCGGCTGCTCGCCCAGACACGGCGGCAGCAGGAGGAAGCGGCCATCTGCGGAAGAGATAGGGGCATGCAAAGGGCATGGCAAGGCCAGGAGAGCCCAGGTGTGGATGGTGGGGCAGAGCCCCAACTGAGAGATGCTGGCACACCTCACAAGTGCCCAGCCAACATCCCCGCTCTGCTCCCGATCTTCCGAGTTATCCCTGGAGATGTTCTCAAGTCAGATACACCTACAGTGACTGGCATGGCCAGACAACCACCCCAAGGTCTAATCCCCCACTGTCTGTACTCTGTTGAGAACTGTCCCTTGATCTGAGGAGGAAGAGAAGGACTCACTCACATTCGAGGCTGCCCACAAAGAGGTAGAGCCAGGAGARGAGAATGGCCAGGGTCACTGTGGCGAGCAGCAGCTTCAGCTTCATGCGCCAGGAGCGCAACATGATGTGCTGGCAGGACAGGGGCAATGAGGATCAGGTGGGCAGCCCGAGTCCAGCTGGCCCTGGCATCCTAGAGCCTGTGAAGGACAGGAGAAAAGTGTCACCAGTAGCCCACACCCAGGTGTGTTGACATCCCCAAGCAGAACATCATCATCTGCTCTTCTCCAGGACAGTATCTGGGCAAGTGAAGCAGCAAAACAGATGCCCATTTCCCCTCCAGACAGGAAACTCCTCCCCATGGTGGAACATTTGCCCACCCCCCAGATTTGTCCCACCATCCTGACAGGGCTGCAGAGGGACCTCATGGAGGGGAATGGGGGCAGGAAGGAGGTCTCCAGATTTTAGCCCAGCTCTGCGCCTTGCTCCCTGCCATCGCACAGACCAAGGGCTCACAGAGGAGAGCGGTAATGCTAAGAGGCCCTCCCGAGCCGGGCGGTGAGCTCCAGGCGGGTCATGGAGCCTGCCCGTGGGAGGAGCCCGGTCCCTGCCCCGCCGCCTCGGCTGGAACGAAGCCCACGAAGGGCCGGGGGGCTCAGGAAACTCCCGCACCCAAACGCCGCCGCCCGCCCACTTCGATGGGAAATCCCGAAACACTTCGGTGAAAGTCGCTCCCCGGGCCCACTGGGGCACGGGGCGGCCGAGGCATTCTCCTCACCCCGCGGCGGCTCTGCCAGCATGTTACACCGCTTTCATTCGTCCGCCGCCGGCGGGACACTCGCTGGATGGGCAGAGCTGCGTTCCCCGCCCGGGACCCCGCGGAGCCCSGTGCCCAGGGCGGGGAACCCAGGCAGAGACCCCGTGGGGAAGCAGACGCCTGCCCCCCCTCGCTGCAGCCTGCCCTCGTTCTGCACCTCTGCCCGCGGCTCTGCGCCCTCGGCAGCAACATCTGGAGGCTCAACAAAAGCTGCCGTGGGAATGAATGGGCCGGATTAGGGTCTGCTCCCCCTGCACACACCCCCTGGAGCCCATTGATGTGCAGATGCCCATGGGGCCGCGGGGGCTGGAGCCTGGGAGAGCACACACTCCCGCCCCCGACCCTCCCGCGGCCCCTGGGGCCAGTGCAAGCTCCCGCCCGCCAGAGGAATCACAGATGGATGGTTCCATCCAGCCTCAGCGAGGGATACCCGGGCTCTACAGGGGCTGGGGAATGGCCAGCCCATTGCAGATGCAGCTGASATCCCGTGGCAGTAGGCACGGCCCCTGAGAGCTGCACCCCTTTTCCTGGCAGAGAAGGTGTCCTGCCTTGCAAGCCAGGCCTGGCCTTGACCTCCTTTTGCGCCCTATAGAGCAGCCAAGCACAGGCAGGGCAGGGGAGGGGGAGCTGACACACGGAGCACACCAGGCCAGGCACTTTTTCTCTTTGCCACAACCATAGGCCATGCTGATGTGACAAGGTCTCCACATGCAGCTGCCAGCCTGTCTCCCATCCCACATGGAGAGCTCCACACAAYTGAATGTTGGAGAACTGGCCAGGCAAGGCCAGAGCGGGGGGAAGGGCAGGGGGACATGGTGAGGAAAGGTCAAGGTCAGCCAGCACCCAGCATTTGGGGAAGCTGAAGGTGTAGAGGGGCAGGGAAGCAACTTCAGCAAAATGAAGGAGAGAGAAGGTGGCACACAGCAGCAGCCRCTGCTCCCACTTGCCCCCATGGACCCTCAGTGCAGGAATGGTACTCTGTCCCCAGCCTGCAAGTGAACACACTACTGGCACGGCAATTTTGGGGGACAGGATGGGACCAGCAGCAAGGCAGTCTCCAAAACCTCTCCAAGGACTGTATCCATCCTCCACCTCAAAGCACCCCCACCCCTCCTGCCACCCCCTATCCTGCTCCTCACCTGGCTGCCTGCCTTCCCCCCAGGCACCGATTTCCTTACCTGCCTCTCCCCTCGCCTCCTCCTTCGCCGGCGCCTCCCAAGCCGGCTGGCAGCCCACTGCTGCTGCTCCCTCCCGGGGCTGCCGTTCCCTGTCCTCCCTTTACTCCTCCCTTCTAGATCTGACACTTTCCCCCTCCTCCCTGCTCTCAAACCCAAGCTCCCCCCCCGCACACCCCGCCGGCCCCCCTTTCAGAGGAAGAAAGAACAAACAAAACAAGAGATTAAATTCGCTTTCTACTCAAGAGCCCCCAGCGCCAGGGGCACAGAATTGCCCAAAGTAAATTGGGAGGAATCCATCCTCCTTCCAGCTCTCTTCCCACTCCCAGGCCTCAATATCCTTCCTTTACAGAGAAAAAGGAAGCATCAGGATTATCTACCCCTGGCCTAGCACCTGCCTCCTCTTTACCAAAGGTGCAGAAGGCTTTGTCCTCATGGARGGATCTTTGCGGGCCTCAGGATGGTGGCAGAGTCCACCAGTTCTCCTCATGACTGGCARAGAGGGGCTGCATGCCCAACCTGGGATGCAAGTATAATGACAGTGGGATGAAAACCTTGCTGCTACCCAGAGAGAAGAGCTATTGGCGCTCTCAGAGCACTTGCCCCTCATGTGGGCAGACTGCAAGCCCCACTGCAGTTTTGAAAGGGAAAGAGCTGTCCCCCTGCTGTCTCATCCTTGCTCTGGCCGAGAAGAGCAGAGCTCCTTTAAAGGGTGCAGTGTTCAACCAGACCTGCCCAGCGCACCAGGAGTGAGCAGGATGGTGGAAGGAGGAGCAGGAGGCCGAGGCTGGGAATGCTAACTATGCAGAGAGGCTCTACCTGCAGCTGCCCCCGGGGCTGAGGAAAGGCGGCAGCTCCGGCCCRGGGCTGGAGCAGAAGGAGAAGCCTCTGCCGGGGGTGTCCAGCGCCGCGGGCGCCTGGAGGAGGCCGAGTGTGGCGGGAGGAGGCAGGAGCGGCAGCAGGCAGAGGGGCTGGGATGCAGACYGCCTGCACAGCACGCCCGATGCGATGTAAATTCCCCCGCCCCAGAGCCCCGGGCCAGGCGCAGCGGGCCCCAGCCTGCCCGCGCAGCCACAGCAGCACCTGCAGGGGCAGGAGCAGGGGCAGGCCGGGCCTGCGCCCGGGCAGCAGCCGCATCCCGGCCCCGGGGGGCACGCTTACCTCCCGCTCGGGCAGCTCCTGCTTGCCCTTGCAGAGCCCCTGGCACAACAGGCAGCGGCTCCTCAGCAGCGCCCTTCTGCCCAGCCCAGCCGTGCCCCGGCAGGAAGAAACGCCCGGATTGCCCTGCTGCTCCTCTGAGCCAGCGGCTCCCCGGGGCACGCACTCTTCCCTTCGCTCCCTCAGCCGCCCCGGGCACATGCTCAGCCCCCGACACCGTCCCGCCCCTGCCCCGAGGTATCCATCATGTGCTCCAGCTGAGGCAGTAGCCAGGCAGGGCTTACCCATGCTTTGGGAGCGGTCCAGACCTCCTGCAGCCCGCTGCCAGCAGCACTGCTTCGGGAGAGGAAACCGCTCCTGCTCCAGGTGACCTCCACAGCCTGTCCACACGCTCTTCCTGGCCACCATACCTTGCTTGCTCCCAGCACCAGAGCCAGTCCATTGCGACCCAGCCAGGGCAGGAACAGGTAGGCTGCYGGGGAACACAGGCACGGCAGGGGCATTTGTAGGATGTTCGTGGGGGTGGAGGGAAGATGGCAAGCCAAAAGGCAGCTACACAGCCTCTCCCCTGTGAAACTTTAAAGGCACAGCAAGCAGAGGGCAAGGCTGGAAGCAGCTCCTTGGCAAGGGGCACACTGGCTAGCAGCAGYCATAGAACACAAGCCTCCCGACTCTACCCATCCCTGCAGTCATGGCACCGGGCCTCTCTGCCCTCCCTCCTCAGTCTCCTTGCTCACCAGACAAGCGCAGCCAGCAGTAAGACGAGAGGTTTCCCAATACTGCCAGCTTCCAACCCCAGTGCGGGTGCGGGGCAGAAGTGCTGTTCACAGCAGGTTATCCTCCCTCCCCCACATTCTTCCCAGGAGCAGGCAGCTTCTGCTTCAGCAGGGATCAGGGGACACAGCCAATGGGACAGAAAAAGGCACCTGTGTCCCCTCTCTCGCTAGAAGAAGCTGACAGCAGATACCAGGGAAGGGGCAGGCAGGACCCAGATCTTGTCTCATGGCTGGGAGTGCACCCTGCACATTCCCTGTCCCCTGTCTCCAGTGACAACAGTGCAATGGCCAGGGGACAGGGAATGTCATGCCAGCAGAGCTGGGCAGCTGCACAAACACCACTGCATGCTCACACCAACCTCTGAGGCGTGGGCAGCAGCCCAAAGCTGGCTGCCTGCCAGCCACCCCTCCATGCTCACACAGCCTTCCTTCCTGGGAAAGTGCACCCACTTTGCTTGCCCCAGGCTATGCCTGAGAGCTACCCATGTGCTGGAACCCCACTTCTCCAAGATCCACTCCTTTTGTAGGAGGAGGATCCCCTTTTTTTTTGTAGGCCACATTGCTCAGCCTGAATGGCCTTCGCTCTCTACGGCTCAGTAATAATCAGGTGAGCAGTTAATGTTTAGGGAGAGCTGGCAGTGGAAATTTTGCCATCACACTAACCAATCCTCCAGCCCTGTAAGCGCAGAGGGGAGCAGCTCTGTTTTCTCACAACACCACAGCTGGCAGCAAGGCCCATGGCARGGTGGGTGTCTTAGCCTGTTGTCTCTCCTAAAGCTAATGTGCACCTGCACAGGGATGTTGAGGCACAACTACACCACCTGTGGGTCCCAAGCCAGAGGCCTGAAGGGGCACAGGGACAGCATCAGGCTTGCTGGCCCCTCTACTGCCTCTCCATCAGGTATTAGAGGGGAAGAGGTAGCCTGGCTGTTGCCAGTAAAAAGCTGCAAGGCAGCTAGAAGAGATTTCACGGAGCTCTCCTGCCTGTTGTCTTACCTAGCTGTAGGTGACAAAAATTTCAAATTCCTCTCTCAAGTCTCATTTCTGGAATAGTGACAATTTAGTTGACCTGCTTAGACTGCCTCGGTAGAAGCCCAACACAACAGCTTCCCAGGTTTGCAGAAGGTGAGAAAGGGCCTGAAAGCTACAACAAGAGCTGCACAGCCAGACTAGCAAGTYACAAGTCTTTGAAGAGAGGCAACTGGGGACAATCACTTTTGCTCTTATGAAGAGATGGGAAGGGACAGGTTGGTTCCTCATTCAGYAGATCACCT